CTTTTACTACAAATGGGTTCCTTTGTGAGAGTGCGAATAGTATCTTCCACTTTTGTATTGTAAGGTAAAGCTCATTTATGTTATTATTTATCATTTGTCGAAATCGGGTACGGATATTCACGGGAACAGATTCTTCTGCAAATGAATTTTAATAGAATACAGATGCTGAAGTTGCATTTTACCATTTCGATGATATAGATATCCTGATTCTATGCCGATTCTGGCTTCAATGTGTTTAAGGAAGTCATACCCGACTATACCATCGAACGAGTTTAAACTATTTAGCAAATATTGTAAAATGTTGAGATATAATCAAGAATATTGATTAAACACTTTTTAAAAATGGTGTTAATTTCGTTAATTGATTTTAAAATAAATGGTTTTTCCATTAACTGAATTCCCTGCAGGAAAAGAAGATCTTTGATGTAATTTTTAGAAATTCCGGTATCAATTAGTATCCGCAGCTCCTAAGCATAAGCCAAATTACTACCGTCATATTCGAGCTCATCATGGGGCCCATTATTAGCGTACGAAAGGCTAAAATAATCGTTATGCCCCTCGTAACTGGACTCGTCATACACTGTAGCCATCGGTTCGGGCATATGATTAGCTCGTTATATATTTAACTGAGGTCTCTGGAAGGATCCAGATGGTTCGCGAAGACGTTTTAAAGCTGCTGTTGTTGGTTGTTAGCATAGGCTGGATTAACTTTGTGACTTTGAATTTGGTTTGGGTCCTTGTTTAGGGGATGGCGATGAATTGAAGTTTTGCGATCGATTTCCATCGGAATCGAGTGTGAATTTGGAGCAGTTAACTGCCCGCGATACGGCATAATTGGCGTACTTCTAGATGGGTTTATTGAGTTTCCCATGGCAAATTTCTGTGCGAAATTATACCATTTGTTATTTGTTTCCAACTCTTGTGCGACAGCTAATGCTGTAGGAAGGTCTTTTGGTGGTGACGAAAAAAGGATATTACAGAGGAAGCGACGGAGACTAGAGATAAAAATGCGAAGTGCATTTTCTCTTGCTCGTTCGTTAAAAGCTTCAATTATCTTGTTATTTTCTTCATGAGTCATAATTTGCTTGTAAATTATGAGTGTTAAATGTTTATTGTAATAATCCGTGATGGAAAGGTCACCCTGCCTTAGGATACTCATCTCATTTTCTAAGACATAAATTGGACGTTTATCTGCATATGTTTGGTCGAGTCTAGCAATTATTGATTTTAAATTAAGCACAGTATTTAAGGAGGAGAGTGTTAAATTGGCGGTACCTATTATTTTATTCCTAAGAATGCCTATTGCCAAGTAATATTTTTCTGAACCCTCATAATAATAATTATTGGCAAAATTGGCTGCAGAGCGCCATGTTGGATAAGAGGAAGCTTCACTACTAAACTCAGGTAAGGACTTAATCAAATCCAAACTAGAGTTACATGGTGCGATCGCAGGGTTAATCGAAACTGGCAAATAAGGTTCTACATTTGGGGGCTGCAAACTTCCAAGCGCTAACGAAATTTCTTCAATTCTGTTAACCAATTCTTGCGTTGTTCGTTCGCTGGTTGTTCTAACTATCTCTAATACCTGTTCCCTAGTAACAATCATTTTACATGCAGAGGACGGAAAAGTACGGTATAAGTACGAGATATTTAGACAAAATGCTTTTCAAACAAAAAAAAATTAAGTTTTAATTTGCTTGTAAATTTTGTACATACACTTTCACTACTAACAACTTACAAGCACATGTGAACTTAGTTATAGAAAAATTTCTGAGTTAAATGCGGTAATTTATTCAAAAATTTCTTTTTTGAAAAGCACAAAAATGTTAATTTTGGTACCCCTTATGTCAGGCGCACAAAAAAAATTAAAATATGAAATTTCGAAACGTTTTACGTTACGTATGAGCAAATGGGAGCCACCAAAGGAAAAGAAAATCAGAAATTCAGAAAAATTTTTGTTTTTAATTGGAGAATTTTAATCAGGATAATGGTTCGAAATTAGTTTTAGGTTACGCGATTTTTGCCACAATAATCTTATGAGCACGTGTTCCAGAAGAATTCTCGCGTGTTAAATTTCCACAGTAAAATATTAATTGATTGCGTTTTTATTGATAAATTTTAATCAAAAATGGGTCGAAAGGACGAGAAATGTAAAAATTAGATTGAATAAGAGGTTCAAAATAATTTTGGATTACGCAATTTTCGTCACAATAATCTTAAGAGCACGTTAAATTTCCACAATTATGTAATAAATATTAATTGATAAATAAATTCTGTATTACAGCGTTTTTTTCACTTTTCGAAATTTTAAGAACCAACTTACAAAAATTCTTAATTGAATGTTAAATAAATATCCTCGTTCGTTTCACTTAATTTTATATTCCTTCGTCAATTCGCCAGACACACGTACAGTGTTGACTTGATTGTTGCTCGAATTTTCTTTTGCCCCACGTTGGGCGCCAGTTAATATTAATTATATTACACGTTAATTAATGCACGACTTCTTCTGTTCGCCAGCAAATTTATGCTGCCTGTTCCTTTTTTTATATTCTACTCATGATGCTCATCAAGCTCAGCTATATTGTTAATGAGTGAACCGATTTCCAAAAGTCCGCATAACGGTTGACGCCAGTGGGAGAGGTAAAAATCGGTTAGTGACGGTAAGTGATAAGAAAATAGTTCTAATGTTTCAATTTTAAGTAAAAGACCTTACTAACACACCTTATCGAATGCCTAAGCTACATTTTATGTCGATAGTACCTCTATTTACTTGCCCTACAGTGCCATGTTTTGCATGAAACCCGAATTGATGGGTTGGAGTTACATATATCATTTTCATGGAGGAAAGGAGATATCTTTGATACTAACACTTTTTCAAAAAAAGTTAAATGAGATTAGCTTAACCCTACACATAAAAGCAAGTAAGGAAGTTCTAAGTTCGGGTGTAACCGAACATTTTATACTTTCGCAACATGCAAGGGAAATTACGTCAGGAGTTGGCAAAATTGTATATTAAAGGAAGTATTGATCCGATTCAACCCATAAAAACATATCAACGCACTAGAAAATAAAAAAATGTGAAGAATGAATGTTATTTACCGAATTTGGTAAACATCAGTTAAGTAGTTTTCAAGTTAGTTTCACCTAAATTTGGGCGGTGCCACGGCGGTATTCCTGTAAAATTGTCTCATACCATCCCAGAGATAAAATTGACTGTCTCTGGAGCGTTTAGTGCTTGTTCTATCGCGCTTTTAGTAGTTTTAATAGTACCGTTATAATGAGAAGTTATATGGGGAGTGGCATGATTTCAACCATTTTCACACTGTCGATAGAGGTGCGAAAAACATTTGTTCTCAGTAAATTTTATTATTGTACTTAAGCGGTTTAGGAGATATGCACAGTAAACCTATTAGTGGACAGGACCACGTCCGCATTTAAAAAAAATTTTAAACTGCAAATGCCCCTCCGTAATGTGATCCTGTGTACCAAATAACAGTCTTATATCATATTGTGTAGCTTAGTTATGGCAATTTATTTGTTTTTGACTAATGGTGTTTTGTGGGCGTGGGAGTGGTCCGATTGGGCGTAATCGCAATACCAACCGTCTTACGGTACCAAGAAACATGTGTAAAAGATATCTCAATTTTGACTCAAGTTACAGCTTGCACAGACGGACGGACGGACAGACAGTCACACGGATATAAACTCGTCTCTTCATCCTGATCATTTATATAATATATACATATATTACCCTATATCTAACTCGATTAGTTTTAGGTGATACAAACAAACGTAAGGTAAACAAAACTATTATACTCTGTAGCAACAAGTTGCGAGAGTATAAAAACAAAGAAACGGGCGCGGATTTAAAACATAAAAACAATATACACACAAACAACATCCCAAGGCATACGAGCTGGAAGCATTTCTGAGAGGAACACATGCATTTTACCACACGCACATACATACAAGGTGCTTTCCAAAGTAAACAGGACTTAAAAAAAACACAGAACAAATGGTTTTATCGGTAAAATCAATTAATTCTATTCAAAATAGTCGTCTTCTGCTTTAATACAGCTTTTTGTACGGTCCAAAAGCATGTCGAACGAGTGTTTTAGCTCGTTGCCTGGTATGGGCGCCAGTATGCCGGTGAAAGCCTTTTGAATCGCCTCCACGTCTGCATAACGCTCGGTCACAAGCGTCGATCGATGAGACGGCGCATTATCGTGCAACAAACGCCAACTTCCATCTTCGCGATATTCGGGCCGAACACGTCGAATACGGCGCATCAAACGCTTCAAAACTCCAAGGTAGAATACCGCATTAACGTTTTGACTGGGTGGAACAAATTCTTTGTGGACAATACTCTTGTAATCATAAAAACATATCAGCATTGTCTTCACTTTTGACTTCTCCAGGCGCAATTTTTTGGGTTTCGGCTCATTTCTCATTTATGTCCTCACGACCACCTTGAAAACGTTGAAACCACTCGTGCACTCTGCTACGCGATAGGCAATCATCGCCATAAACTTGTTTCACCAATTAAAATGTTTCGGTAAAAGTTTTACCAATTTTAAAACAAAATTTAATGTTGGCTCTTTGTCCGAAGCTCATTTTGGCACCGATGACAAAAATATACTTACACTTAAAACGCAACAACTTCACTTCAAATAGATAAAATGTCCTGAAATTTTTACTGGTAGTTGATAAAGGATAGAAGATTGTAACGCACTAGTCGACATATAGATGGATCCACTAGAGTTTACTTTGTTACTTTTTTTCTGTTGACTTTGGCACACTTTGTATATTCGGACACATTATCTCCAAAAACCCTTAAAGGAAAACAGAGTGAGCGTATTCATTTCATGTTTTACTTATTGTATGTAAAAGTATTTAATTTTCGGGAAAATCCGAAAACAGTTGGTACAATATAGATCCAAATATAATATATATATAATTAAAAATAAATAATTATCGAATGCCTTTACATATGTCCTTACCTTTGTGTTTATAAGCACACCCATTCCACAAACACAACAAATCCAAAAAATAATTCAAGAATTTACTTGCAAATTTGTCCGACAATACCCCGTCTGCTGAATAAAGCAATAAGCAGGATTGCTTAAAATGAGTAAGCAAAGGCAAAATAAAAAATTAAACTAAGATCCAAGAAAAAAATATATACAAACGTACATACATATATCAATATGCTCTTGTCTATTATATTAACATACATAAAACATACATGAATATATATAAGAAATAAATATTTACATACTTGTACATAAATATACAATACTTGCTAACGGGAAAAAATTTTACAACCACCTAAAAAGAAGCTTCAATAGACCGCCAGTAGCAAAAAAAAAATTAAGCAGAAGCTTTTACCCTTACTTTACAAAGCACTATCCTTCACATCCGACCAGAAAAAATATGCGAACTATGCACAAGAGGGCATAAACTACAATCTTGCGAGAAGTTAAAACAACTAAAAATTAACAAAAGAAATTTCGTCAGAACAAAAAGACTTTGTACAAATCGCTTGACACATGGGCATAGTCATAAAGGTTGTAAAAGCAAAATCAATTTCTTCTATTGTCATAAAAGACACCACTCAATGCTTGATTACAGCAAATTTCCTCACCCCAAAGCAGCGCTTACATTAGTAAAAAACAAAACACAAGTTTAGTTTCAATGCAAATCCCGAAAATTGTGAAATGGCACCATGTTGCTCAAAGGCACAAAAAACTCATACGCTACACAGCGAATTAAAAATAGGGTATTACTACGCACAGCAGTTATCTCCATGGAACACAGACTTAAAGCCCTAATAAACAAGGATCGCAACGATCATTCAACACGTCTAGGGCACAAAAGAGGCTACATCTGTCCAATTTTTTTGGCCAATTCTGAAATTACCCTAATTTTCCCCCAAGCGGATAAGCAAATTAAAGTAGTAGCTATAGTTTTACCGCAACTTACTAACATGCTTCCAATTATCACATAAATCGCAAGCATTAGCAAAAAGTTTCTAACCTAATGCTAGCAGACCCCAACTGCAACACCCCATCTCAAATAGACATTGTATTAGGCAGCGACATTATACCCCAAGTAATACTTAATGAAGTTGAAAAAATTTCAAACGCATTTTTGGCTCAAAACACAATTTTCGGTTAGATACTAAGTGGACAAGTTAAAGAAGCACTTTCCATATTACCACCTCAAGTTGATCAGAATTCAAACCAATACTTTAATTCATAATTAATGAGGGTTAGGAAAGCTTCTCCCATATCAAATAAAACCAAAGATCAGTATTGTGAAGACTTGTATAAAGCCCCAACTACTCGATCAAATAATGGCCGGTACGTCGTACGACTCCCGCTAAAGCCAAAATTTTCCAACTTTCCACGAATTGGCAGAAAAAATATTAACAAGTAAGAAAGTGCTAAGTTCGGATGTAACCGAACATTTAATACTCTCGCAAAGTCAAATAGTATACTAAGCAGATCCCAAGATATGGGTTTTCACCTAAAAGTGGGTGGTGCCACGCCCACTGACTAATTTTGAACGTGGTTCCTATAAAATCATCTTACACTATCCCAAAGATAAAATTTAATGTCTCTGGCTTGTTTAGTGCTTGGTTTATCGCGCTTTTAGTAGTTTTTAACAGTACCGTTATATGGGGAGTGGGCGGGGTTGTCACCCGATTTCACCCATTTTCACACCGTCGTTAGAGATGCTAAAACAATTGGTTCCCAGTGAATTTTGTTATTATACCTTCAGTGGTATAGAAGATATGCACATTAAGCTTATTAGGGGGCAGCCACGTCCACTTTTAAAAAAAATTTAACTGCAGATGCCCCTCCCTAATGTGATCCTGTATACCAAAGAAGAGTCTTGTATCTTGTTGTGGAGTTTAGTTATGGAAATTTATGTTTTTGATTAATGGCGGTTTGTGGGCGTGGCACTGGACCGATTACGCCCATCTGCAATACCAACCGTCTTACGGTACCATGAAATATGTGTACCAAGTTTTATAAAGATATCTTAATTTTTACTCAAGTTACAGCTTCCACAGACGGACGGACGGACAGACAGTCACCCGGATTTCAACTCGTCTGTTCATCCTGATCATTTATATATATATAACCCTGTATCTAACTCGATTAGTTTTAGGTGATACAAACAACCGTTAGGTCAACAAAACTATTATACTCTGTAGCAACAGGTTGCGAGAGTATAAAAAGTTGAGTGATTACCATACCCCCCATGAGGTACAGTGACGCACCTGGACTTACTAGTAGCAAAGGTCGCTCTTATCTAATCATATGGGATTTCTGTCAATTAATTCTTTGCTTACAATCCATTTGCAGTTGACGTGTCAGATATGATGATAGAAGATGAAGACGAGCCACGCGAAGGACGACCAAAAACCGGAACCACACCAATTATCATTAAGCAAGTTCATAGTATTGTTAGTGAAGATCCAAGTTAATTTGCTAATGCCACAGGGATCTCAGACGAACTAGTACTTCGTATTTTACATGGTGAATTACATATAAAAAGCTGTTTGGAAAGTTACTGCTGCACACGTTAATAATTCAACTACAACTGGATCGAAAAAAAATTTCTCACCATAATTCCCAAAATTAAACTGACGTTTTATTCAGTTAAAAGTGATGTAGGGAGATATTAACGTTCCACTAAATTGGTGTGCTGTACCCAATAAATTGGGTAGACATTTTTACAGCAAGGTTGACTTACCAACAGCATTAGCTTTCCACCAGGAGATTGAAGCTAACCACAACTGATTCATGTTCGCCGATTACTAGGAGGGAATTTTAGAGAATATAAACCAACTAAATGAACAAAACGAAATATCCGTTACCTATGATAATAAAGCAGGAACTACGAATTAGATAATTTTAAACTCGCGTAGCGTTGTCTAAAGTTTTTGCGGACCATAACGAATACTTTTTTTTTTGCTACAAATATTGTCGCCATTAAAAACTGTAAACATTAAATAATTTATCCCAAATATTTCATTAATAATTTGGCAAGGCCAAGCACTTTCCCACCCTCAATCTAAAATCGGCGTTCCACCAAATATTCCTTGCTAACCTTAGCACAGTGAGTAAAGTTTTATTATATTAGATATAAATCAGTCTCAGGAAGCAATACGCAACTATTAATAACCTTCATCACTCTTCAATATTAGGTCATTGCTCGGGAAAACAAACTATGCTATCGCTGCTTCAATTAAGACTTCGCCTCTAAAATATACCAGTAAATCTATGAGAAAATTAATGAAAATGAGGTCCGAGCATTTAATAAGCTCAAAGATTATTGCAGCTGAAAAAGTTACGTTACTTTATCCTGACTTCAAAATCTTTCAATCTTATGACGGATACTTCAATATGAGGTTTAGGAGACGACCCTCAACTGAAATTGAAGATCAATCACTATGATGCCATTAATGTGAATTTGGCGGTTTCCGGTTTCCGTTTTTCAAAAAGTTAGCGGCAATCCTGATAGAAGCTTCTGCTAGAGTAATATTTCAAGCATTAAAGTTCAAACAATATTGGTTGTGTGAATGTTTTGCATCTTTTATATAAATTTGTTGGCTTTATCTGCCTGTGAGATACCTTAATGAAAATCAGAGGCCATATTTTTCTGGAAATTATATTTCGTTATGCCAAAAATAGATAACATCGGTTCATTTTTTTCCCTAGGCCCATATACAACCTAATATAAAAGTTTCGAACTTCCGGTTGACTTTCTACTGTATATAAACACATATTGACATGCACTCCCAACACCAACTAAACATATGTACAAGTGCCTGTGTGCACATGTTCAGTTCTATTAGTTTTAAGATGCATGTAATCTGATCCCTAGAGATAAACTAACATATGTACAAGTGCCTGCGTGCACATGTTCAGTTTTATCAGTTCTAGGATGCATGTTATTTGATAGGATGCCTAGGGATAAGTAAACATACATATAAGTGCCTGCGTGCACATCAAATTAGAATATAAGAAATACCAAACGAAAAATAAAGGCAGTCTAAATGAAGATTTGAGCAAAGAAGCTTGTTTCTTTTATTTAGTCTAATATCAGTCATCCAGGATCGATACAAGAGTATCATCCTAACTGATAACAAAACTGGCGATGATGAAAAACATACGATAGCTAAATAATTTGCAATAAAACTATATACTAGGTTGTACAACTTACAACAACTTACTTATCAAGAGTATGTGGACCACGTGATTACCATTGGATAAATATATTATAAAATCAAATAAATAATTGACAGCAAAGTGAAGCAAAAAGTTGAAAAAAAAACATAAAGTCGAAAAAGAGACAATTAACAAAAAACACACAAAAAAAAAAAAACTAAAACAGCCAAAAATCAAGTGATTAAAAGCTGAATTAAAAAATAATAATAATAAAGAAACACAGCGAAAACTTAACATAAATACAAGTACACCGGCAACAAAAGCTGCAGCAGCAACAATACCATCAACAGTATCAGCAACAGCAACAGAACCCCAAATAAGAGTAAGAAAAAAATATATATATTTGTATCAATAATATTTTTAGAGTAAATATTATATTAATATATGGAAACTATCGCACATTAATGCAAAAAAAATGCGAATAAATAGGAATATTTTTAATTTTAAATTGAAACAAAATTCTCAAAATGGAAACATCTACCATATCATATTTTCAACTCATTTTATATGGATTAATGGATGAGTTGAAAATCATTAGACTCAACGGTAGAAAATTATTATTTCAGAATAAATAAAATTAGAAATAAATTACACAATAGGATATTAGCACATAATGATCTAAAATTTTCAACTATAGAAGTTAATAGGATAGCGCTACAAACATTTAAAGAACACCTTCCCGAACCTACAAAAACAATGATCAAAGCAAGAAACCCAGATACTTTAGATAAAGCATATAAAATAGTTTTAGAAGCTAGACATCAATCCTTCACAGCATTTGGACAACAAAGGAAAGATCCTAACCCAAATATGTAGCTATAGTAGGACTAATTTAACAATAGAACATCTTCCGGACCCAACCAATATATGTATAA